ATCTCAACCAAGAAACTGAATTTCTCAGGAGCCGCCTTTGCCCCCCGCTGCTTCCTCTGTTCTGCTGTCCCAGTCATCACACAGGAATCCGAGGACAGAAACTCAGTCAGCCTTCTAAGTATTTTTCTTCTCTCCTCCTCTCCCTTCTCCTGCTCCCTCTCCCCTTCCCTCCCTTCCTCCCTCCCTCCCTCTCTCTCTCTCTCTCTCTCTCTCTCTCTCTCTCTCTCTCTCTCTCTCTCTCTNCTCTCTCTCTCTCTCTCTCTCTCTCTCTCTCTCTCTCTCTCTCTCTCCTCCAGTCAGTTCTCCATCATGGCAATAGCAGAGGACAGAGGCCTCACACTCTCACCTTTACTGATTGTCCAGCGGAAAGCAGTTTCCTTCCAGGGCCCCCACGAAGCCAGCTAATGTAGACGTAGACGCTGCCTAGCATTTCGCTGCCTAACATTTCCCTCGGGGGCCAGCTTGGTGCTGGAGGCCCCCACCTTCTCCCACTGGCGCGTTACGAAACAGTGTTCTTTTAAAATGTTCATCAGAAATAGGCTTTTAAAAAGTGTTGTGTATCTGTATATAGTGTTGTGAGGTCTGAATGACAATGTATTGAATTGAATGCAAAAAGAAAAACCCACAAACCTGTTTTTAAAATAAAATCTCTTTTTTTGGGGGGGCCTTGATTTTATTGCTCATAGTTTTTCTGAGGCCTCTTCTGTCAACTGGCTCTTCAGAGAAGTTCCTGCTGCCCTGACTCAGTCAGAATGGGCAGTGGAAGAGTGTAGCCATCACCACCAGCTGGGAAGATCTCTGACTCATATTTTGTTCCACTTAAGTTTTTTTTAAACTTTGAGTGGTTAAAATATTTAGGAGAAAAGCCCTTCCCATCCTGATGGAGAAAAGGAATGTAAATCAGCAACTGAAAAGGCCTGGGAGCAGGTGAGTGAAAACAGTACATTCACTTCAGTTAGTAGTTGGGGTTCAGAGCAGGATTTGGGTGCTGGAGTTGAATGCTGTAGTGTTAGTGGTGGTGGCAGTGGCAGGGAGCTAACACTAGGCTCCTGAGGCCCTACTGTCCACAGAGGGTCCCAAATTCCTACAACCAGCTCAGGGTTGGGACTGGGGAGAGGTCCGCACTGCCACCCCTGCTCAGCATTCCCGGGCTGCACTCTTTCTTCCCCATCAACCTTCGTATAGAGCTCAGGCTCTAGGATTCCTTTCACCCCCAGTACACTAAACCAACCCCACTTTTATTCTCCAGCATTCCTGGAAACCTCAGTCTTCCAAGCAATCTGGAGCCCTATAGACTCTGCCACTAATTTGTTTTTTCTGTTGAGTCAGTCCATGCCTATCTCCTTATCTGGCAAAGTTAATGAGATTGTTAAATTGTCAGGTTAGGAAACTTAAAAAGCAATATAGCCTAAAACAATGTTATCTTGGATTAAATCTTTACTGCAGCAATTTTTATTTATACATAATCTTTTTTCCTCTCCTGAGACACGGAAAGACTGGAGGCATTGGGTTGGAAATTAGAGTTCTCTGATCTCCCTTTACCTGTTGGCTGAAGTCTTTAATATTTTATTTAAATAAATAAATGCTTCTGAGGATGAAACACACACACATGCACATAGAGGGAGTCTGAGAGACAAAGAGCCTGAAGAAGTCACCGTCTGTTGAAGCCTTGCTACTGATGTGGCACCAGTCCTGTTCAACTCCATTTCAACTCTGGGTTAACTATCAAAGAATCATATGCTGGGAAGTAGAGATTTAGGGGGTTTAAGAGAATCTCCCAAGAATAAGGTTCATTCTTAATTCCATCTTCCCTTTCTGTTCCCACCGACCAACCCAACCTCTCCCCAAAACCAGTCTCCCTTGAGATGAAAAGAGTTGAAGATTAAATGTATGTTTGGTCAGAAAAAGGAACTGAATAGACAAGAGGTCTAGGGTTCCCCTGATATGGTCCGCCACCCCTCTTGACTTGAGAGTGCATCGGGTAGTCCCATGACACACAATTTAGACACAGTGGAAGTTGGAGACTTAGAGGGGAAAGAGAGTCTAGAGGGGCCCTCCACTTCTGCACACAAACCCACACATAGTCAAATGAGTGAGTCTTTCCCCACACGGAGGGGCCAGCACTTAAGGGCACAGAAGAGGGCGATGGAAAAGAGAAGGAAGAAGCCTGTGCAAGCTCACTGGGGTTGCATTGGGACCCCAGCAACCCAGGCAAAGACTGAAGACCCTCTGAGTCCCTGTGAGTCCCAGTGTGCCAGCGTGTTTAGGGCCCTCTCGTGCCCTGGATTAAATATGCTTGGGTGGATTTTGAAGAATTGTCATGCCTGGATCCATTTTAAGATGCCTCTCCCATAAAAGGAAGTAAGCATGAGAATGGAAACTCCCACGTGAGACAGGTGTTGTGTGACCGTGTGTTCTGGGGAGGCAAAGTTGGGGAAATGTATTATTCTTTCCTGATCATGCTGGTCCCTTACCTTTCAGTCCTCCGAGAATTGGCATTGGGCATTCTTTAAGACATTCCTGTAAAGGGTGTGTGTGTGTGTGTGTGTGTGTGTGTGTGTGTGTGTAGAACCTTTGACCAGTGAATTTCCTCAGGCTTACTGCCTGTGTGTGCAGCTATGTGAGTAGGAGTGTTGTCAGCAGGCACTCAGGGTATAGAGTATGTTTTCTCTTCTTTATTTAAATCTATAAAAACCCTTCTTTCTACCGCCAGTCTCCTAGTGTTTGTGTGAGTCAGGCTGCAATAAATATGAGCGTGCAAGGGGGATAGAAGAGGTCTGAAGGGCTGTGAGCACAGAGGCTTCTGGAAACAGCACTTCGTCTCTGGGACTGGGGATTCTGCTATCTTTCTCATAATCTGAGGTGGCACTCTCCGCTCCTCATGCCCCACCAGGTCAGGACTGGGCATCCCAGGTGGGATGAGCTGGAGCCTCACAAGACTCTCCATCTGGAGGTCACTCTACCAGGCTGCCAGGAGGGCTCAGTTATATCCTTTCCTGAGTTTGGGGGAAAAACCCTTCCCACCCACATCTTCATCCCCAGACCTAGGGCCCTTCAGCGGGTAGTCCCACAGCCAAGAACCCACCTGAGGGAGCAAGGCCAGCAGTTCTCTGGAGATTCCTCCACGGCTGTTTCTAGACCATCTGTTCCTGAGGCTGATCCACAGACGGCAGGGTCAGCAGTGAGGGAGTAAAGCAGGGACAGCCCCCCCATCCCACCCCACCCCGGAGATATTCTCCAACGCTCAGAGGATTGGAGCTGGGGACACTCCGTCAGCCCCCTCTGTTCAGAAGAGAACTCCCCACACTAGGATCCACCTGGGTCCGACTTAGATGGTGTCGGACCCACCCCTCAAAAAACTCCAACTGCTGGATCAGATGTGTATCCAGACCTGCCCTGGTGGAGGATTGAAGGGCCCTGGGGAGAGAGGAGCTTCTGGGAGGAGGAGGGGGCCAGAGCCTCTTCTCAACCAACCAGGCTCTTCCTCTTTTAGCCTTGACCGTGACTAGGTCTTTCTGACCTTGACTTCGCAAGGAGCACAGGGAAGGGGGGCGGGGGGGGATGGAAAAGGCCTTGATCTTCCGGTGGCCAGAGAAGGGGAGGTCCTCTAGCCCACTTGACGCGCCATCCCCCTTTCCGCCAGAGCCCGCCGCCTCTGTTTACACACAGAGGAGGTGTCGTCTCCAGTCTAGACAGGGGCGCTAATAACGCCCATAAAAGGCAGCCTCTCCAGAGATGCTCTGCAACTCGGCTCCCGCGCGCCTACCGCTGGCCGCTCCCTCCGCCTCCTCCGCCCCGCCCTCCTCTGATACCTCCGCCCGGCCAGCCCGCGGCCTTGGGGAGGGGGGACCCAGAGGGTGTCTAGAGGCTGAGAACCCCCGCCCCGCACCCTTCTGAACCTCTTCTGTCTCCAAAGGTAAGTGGACCCTGCTCTTTCAGCCCAGCCATCCGCGGGATTAACAGCACATCCTCCCACCACCACCACCAGCCTCCTGGGCCGGTTGTCTCCATTCCATTCGGCCCGCGCTCCCCACCCCGCACTGGGGGCTTGGCTTTGGGAAACCTTTGCGTAGCTGGGCAGAGCCGACCCCAGGCAGATCTCAGCCGCTCACCAAAGCTAGGCCTGGCCAGAGGCCATGGTCACAGGAGCCCCCCACCGTGGGACAGGGGGCACTGGGGGTAGTCCTCACCCCATACGGAGCTTCGAGGTTCGCGGAGACCAGGCCCCCTGGCTCCCGCATATTTGCAGGCGGCTGTGGGTGTGGCGTTTGATGAGGGTGTATTGGTGTGTTTTTTTTAAACTTGGTCCCCACACCTTTCTTGACACTCAATAATTCACTAGGCGGAGGAGATCCTCTGCTGGCGATGGTGGAAAATGTCAGAGCCCTGCAATTATTTAACTATTAGCGTGCCAAAAAGACAGAGAAAATGGGGCAAGATGGCCCATTTAGGGATGCTCAGGTGAGAGGTGGAGAGATGGCTTCCCAGATGTTCCCACCTGGGATTCCCCACCCCTTCCCCATTTCCTGAGTGGCAATCGGGCAGGGGTCTTGCGGTGGGAGGGAGCTCAAAGGAGCCCCAGGATTGGAAGAGGTAAGGACGCTACTGACCCCATGCTGCTGGCATGAACCTAAAGCTTGACTGGGCCCCCACACCCAAGGTTTCTCTAAAGCCCCCACCTCCGGGCTGCAGGTTCTCAGAAGGCAACACCTAGAGAAGGGGTCTCCCCATTTCCCTTTTTAAGTCTCAGGCTCCTCGAGGGAGTTCTGGAAACCAGGTGGGCTACAACCTCTGGAGGAGCTAGTGAAGCAAAGACAGAGAGGAGACTGAGCCCCCTACCTTCATCTCTCAGCCTTGTCTGAATCCGCCAAAGACCGGGTCGCAAGCCTGAGCTGCCCTAAAGGGGCGGAACAGAGAAGACTGAGGGGTCAGGGCCCAAGCCCTCCACATTCGCCGCTTTTCACCTCCCCTCTCCCTGCCAGCCCAGTCCCTACTGAAATCCCTTCCAGGGCCCAAGCCCTGCATCATTTGCATATAAGGCAGAACCGCTTTCCGCAAACTAGACAGTGACCTTGAACCGGGCGGGCCACTGTGGTCTCTCCACTGACGGGAGGAGGCGGCACCGCGCGGAATAATTCCGACCTCGGGTTGGCGGGGAAGGCCAAACACAGCCACTCACGGCTGCTCGGTGGTAGCCTACGCAGCCTCTTTGCCCCTGCCACAGAGCCCGCACAGATTTTATATTTAACTACTTTCGCCTGGCTCAGAGGTGGTGGTAACTGGGACCCGCGAGGAGGCCGCCAAGGTGCAGAAGGATGGAGACTCAGACAGAGAAGGCTCAGGAGAGGAGGCAGGACATCCAGCTGGTGGATGTGCCAAAGCACGAGGGCTGCCACCCGTCTTTAAGGAAAGCCTTGGACCACATCCTGGCCTTCAGTTTTAATTAACCCCTGAATTAATGAGCGGGGTATGGTTGAGCTAGGCCAGCTGCAGCAGGAACCCGAGGCCCAGACGCCAGCAAGCAGGCCACCTCCTCCAGCCTTATGATTTGATGAATGTGCCCGAGAGTGGCCGCACAGATCGCTCCGCCGTTCGGGTCCCTTGCTGATTATAGGTTTGCATGAAGGCTGCGAGGTGCTGGCGGATTAAACCCACGGTCTAGACGCGGCTGTTCAGCGCTTTAGGCTGGGAGTCCTCCCCAGGCTTTGTACCCATCCCCAGTGGGCTGCGGGCGAGCCGCTCTTGCCGAGGCTGAATTTAGATTTGAAGCTTCGCGCCCGAGCCTCCCGCCGGCCCCGGGGACCCAGGCTGGTAGCGGCGTTCTGGGGACAGTTTGTCAGAGCCTGGTTAAGGAAGGGGCGCCTGAGCTGCGTGCAGCCGGTGCCTTACAGGAGAGCAGAACTGCGGTAGTGCAAGGGGAGGCTGGGCGCTTATGTTGCCTGGGTCCTCGCTGGGATTCTGAAAACCCCTAGGTTCACACCGAGCCCGAGAAACAGGCCACTGGGGATGCGAGTTTTTGTGACGATTCTTGGTACGCTCTCCCTGAGAGGACTCAGCGCCCGAAGCACGGAAGAAAGAGGCGCTTATGCATGTGCCAGTGCCCACAGGGTCCAAAACCTGGGAAAATGGCCTTTTTGGATGGAGCCAAATCAGACTGATAGAAACTGAGAGTGAAGGAAGCCTTCACTCCACCCTCACTTCCCCTTTCGCCTGGCTCAGAGGTGGTGGTAACTGGTGGTAACTGGCAGCGTTGCATCTGCCGCCCTGTGGCCGCTGCTCTGTGTGCTCGGCGGCTGGCCCGAGGGCAGCAAGCAGCGCTCTAGGCCTGATATTTTCAAGCTAGGGAAGGATAGCGAGAGGCTGAGACCTTCGTCCTGGGGGTCCCCCTTCCGGGAGATTGTAGTCATTTGGGAGGGAAAAAGAGAAAGCGGAGGAGTCTTCTGCCCACAGGAACTAACGATTATTCCGCAAAGCTCAGCTCGGCATTTCTCACACCAACAATAGCGGCGGTGAGCCGAGGCCTGGAGGCCTGCGAACCTCACCGCCGGCGCAGTGTTCTGATTGAAAACTGCGGCGATATTAAAATCACACCCTGTTTAGTTTTATGACCAAAATAACCCCCAAATAATTTTTTTTTAATTAAAATTTCAGTGGTGCTCAGTGATGCACCTTGAAAAGGAGGCATAAATAGTAAGTTGGAGGTGCTGCGACGTGGGATTTGCAGCTGAGGGATGCTCCTGTCTGCGGCCGCGCAGCCCTCCATCAGTCAGGCACAGAAAGGCCAGTCCCGGCGGCCTCCTGCCCGCTCTTTGGCGCCCGGCTCCCGCGGTTCTGCCTGGAGGTGACTGCGCGACGTTGGCATCCCACCGCTTGGTCTCGATTTGGCAAATTGGGCCCCCAAGGGCTTCCAGGGGCGGGAGGAACCTGGCCAGGCAGCCTGGCCGGCCAGGGCTGGGAAGGCGAAGCCGGGCGAAGGGTGGACACCGAACTGCGGCCGGGCTGGGCGACGCGTGCGCGGACACATTTCTGTCGTAGTGAGCAGCTATGGTTTGCGCTGTGAAACCGCCGGAGCTGTGGAATTCTGAGAATCCGCGTCTCTCTCGGAGGCGTCCTGCAGAGGAGAGAGGGAAAAAGAAGGAGAGGAGGATATTTTGCTTTGGTCTGCTCCGGCTGGTCCTCAGACATTTAACTTTCACCTACATGGGTTCCCCCTCCCATTCTCTCTGACCCTCCTAGTCTCTCTAATTTTCTCTAAATCTTCTGGTGTTTTTTCATATTTAGACGTTTCCTGAACTATTTCTCTCGCCTTGTATTACTCAAAGCTGGGCGTTAGGAGCCGGAAATAATCACATTGTAACCCGACTATTTTGTCTGCGAGACTCACAGAATGCACCTAGTTTTGAAGGTTTTTCCCTTCTTCATTTTACTCCACTTGACTATGTTCCGTGGACTTAGTTGAAAACGGTTTGTGGTTTCCTTCCAAATGGTGATGAGTCTGACCAACGGCCAGCATTGGGTTCTCAGCCTTTTCTGGAAGGAGCTGCTAAGGTTAGCACCATAAACATAATTTTAAGCCCTCACAACAAGGCAACTCTCTAGAGTTCTCTCCCTCACTCCCAACACACCTAGTGGCCTCGGCGCTGCTCTCTGATGGTCCTGGCGGCAGGTCGGGCCAGTTAGGGGGTGCTGATGTCTTCTCACAGTGGGAGTCAGGAGCTTCCCAGGCCAATGAAGCTCTGCTAGGGGCCCAGAGGCTCTTGCTGCAAAGACTCTGGGAGACCCCCTCAGAAGTCCCGGTGACCCACAGAATCACAGTGAAGAGCAGTCCAAGCCCCCAGATTTTCAAGAGCAGGCAGGCAGTTCACATGGAGCTGGGAGCACCCTTCTTCTGCCTCCCGCTGCATCCATTCTCTAGTGAGTGAGTGGAAGTGTGAGGCTGGGTGGCTCCCAGCTTGGGGGGGGGGGTGACCCCACATTAATAATTTTCCCTGAGTCCTTCCTGGAGGAAAGGGCCCCAAATGTCTCCCTAAATTCCCGAGGAGAAAGAGCTGAAGAAGAGGAGTGCAGCAGCCACTGGGCTGGGAGAGAAAGCGGCAGGAAAACCTGTCCTTACCCCCACTCGCCTCTACTGTAAATAAACCCCGAGCCAAAGGGCTCATCCGTCTCCTTAAACAGCCAGTAAACTTTATATGACACAATATCTAATAGTAATTTATTGGGGAGATATTGTAAATTCCAACGGTTTTAGTTAATAAATGAGCTAATTAAAGAGGGGCGGGCTGTGCTCGGCCAGCTGTTGGTGAGAAGATAATACATCTGGGGGGGGGCGTGCAGGGTGCAGGGTGCAGAAGGATGTATGTGCCGGTGTTTTTGGTGTGGTTTTTTCCCTCTTGCCCCTTGTCGGGCGATTGCCTCACTCTCTGCGTTAGGTTTTATATGATTTTTAAAAAGAGGAGAA